ACACTGAAGATTGTCGGTGTGAAAATCAGATTATGTTTCTGTTTGTCAGCACCTTACCATCGGTGTGGGTTCCACCAAAGTGGTATATATCAAAGACCTACATCATTTTGGGTTTCCTTCACATGGGTGGGAGGGGATGGGGAGTAACAGTGGGGGATGGGGGATGTGGGAGATGGGGAGATGGGGAGATGGGTTGTTGTTGGGGATGTGGAGTGACAGTGGGGATGAGGAAGAGGGGTGGGGGAGATGGGTGGTGTGAGGGATGGGGAGTAACAGTGGGGGATGGGGGATGTGGGAGATGGGGAGATGGGTTGTTGTTGGGGATGTGGAGTGACGGTGGGGATGAGGAAGAGGGGTGGGGGAGATGGGTGGTGTGAGGGATGGGGAGTAATGGGGGATGGGGGATGTGGGGGATGGAGAGAAATGGGGGGATGGGTGGTGTGGGGGATGGAGGGAGATGGAGAATGGGTGGTGTTGGGGGTGGAGGGAGATGGGGGATGGGTGGTGTGGAGGATGGAGGGAGATGGAGAATGGGTGGTGTGGGGGGTGGAGGGAGATGGAGAATGGGTGGTGTGGGGGGTGGAGGGAGATGGGGGATGGGTGGTGTGGAAGATGGAGGGAGATGGAGAATGGGTGGTGTGGGGGGTGGAGGGAGATGGGGGATGGGTGGTGTGGAGGATGGAGGGAGATGGAGAATGGGTGGTGTGGGGGGTGGAGGGAGATGGAGAATGGGTGGTGTGGGGGGTGGAGGGAGATGGGGGATGGGTGGTGTGGAAGATGGAGGGAGATGGAGAATGGGTGGTGTGGGGGGTGGAGGGAGATGGGGGATGGGTGGTGTGGAGGATGGAGGGAGATGGAGAATGGGTGGTGTGGGGGGTGGAGGGAGATGGAGAATGGGTGGTGTGGGGGGTGGAGGGAGATGGGGGATGGGTGGTGTGGAGGATGGAGGGAGATGGGGGATGGGTGGTGTGGAGGATGGAGGGAGATGGGGGATGGGTTGTGTGGAGGATGGAGGGAGATGGAGAATGGGTGGTTTCGGGGATGAAGGGAGATGGGAGATGGAGGGAGTTTGATGGAGTTGGGGCTGACAGAGATGGTGGGGATGGGCAGAGGTGGGAGATGGGTGGAGTTGGGGCTGACAGAGATGGTGGGGATGGGCAGAGATGCTGGGGATGGGCAGAGATGGTGGGGATGGGCAGAGATGGGAGATGGGTGGAGATGGGGCTGACAGAGATGCTGGGGATGGGCAGAGATGCTGGGGATGGGCAGAGATGGTGGGGATGGGCAGAGGTGGGAGATGGGTGGAGTTGGGGCTGACAGAGATGGTGGGGATGGGCAGAGATGGGAGATGGGTGGAGTTGGAGCTGACAGAGATGGTGGGGATGGGCAGAGATGGGAGATGGGTGGAGTTGGGGCTGACAGAGATGGTGGGGATGGGCAGAGATGGGAGTTTGATGGAGTTGGGGCTGACAGAGATGGTGGGGATGGGCAGAGATGGGAGTTTGATGGAGTTGGGGCTGACAGAGATGGTGGGGATGGGCAGAGATGGGAGATGGGAGATGGGTGGTGTGGGGGATGGAGGGAGATGGAGAATGGGTGGTGTGGAGGATGGAGGGAGATGGGTAGAGTTGGGGCTGAAAGAGATGGTGGAGATGGGCAGAGATGGGAGATGGGAGATGGGTGGTGTGGGGGATGGAGAGATGGGGGATGGATGGTGTGGGGGATGGAGAGAGATAGTTTCGGATGGGTGGCATTGAAGATGGAGATTGATGGTGGAAGATGGGGAGATGGGTGGAGTTGGGGTTGACAGAGAGGGTGGGGTGTGGGGGTGGTAATTCAACATCAATTAAGATTGTGTTTTTTTATTTTGTCTCCATTGTTGTAATTAAAATTGCTGACAATGAATTAGCCTTCTGAAAAGTCTTGCTCAGACAGAGAGCTTTGAAAGCCAGACCCAAATCAATTCATCATGTGTTATTCCTTCATATAAATAATATAAAGGATCCTGGGAATCTTTTAATTTTCAGAAAGTTTTGAAACTGAAGAAATCCATAATTGCAAATGCTTTGTAGACTTGCTTGGGATATTTGTTTTAGTTTCAGGATCTGTATGAGAGATTATAGAGCATGCTCCTATATATAAACCATTGTAAGAGCAATTAGCAAGTCTAGAATGACTCATCTTTCCCCGTTAACAATTTATATAGATCACGTGTGAAAACCATCCCAGAGCAAGTCTACATGGTGACTCGTCTCTATGCCAATTGCTCATCCGATGAAAAATCACACAATTTGATTTGTATAGGATTGGTGCCCGGCTACACGAAGCAGCTCAGTTGTATTTCTAGTGAACAGACGAGCCGATTGACAGAATGATAAAAAAAGGTTTCAATGGGGCAAGGGTAATCTTCAGGCCTGTCTGTGCAGGGCTTTGGTTTTATTTAATATTCTAATAAAAACAAACAGTTTTTTAAATTTAAAAACATGAGTAATGATATTGGACTTTTTATGGTGAAACTTTTTATGTCAAAATTGGAAATATTGGATGTAAAATCATAAAATCAGTTATATGCAAAAGTTAATGTTACATGCATAGATTTAAGACTGGCATATGTTGCTAGATGTAAATATGATGCTTGAAAGGTTTTGATCATTTATCACTGATATTTTTTTCTAAAAAATTGTTTTTTTCATTAAACTGCTTAAATGTACCATCTGCTGCACTGTTATCTTAATCTGCCTTACATTTTCAAACAAAGAAAACAGTTTATGTTTTGCAGCATGGTGGCACCAACAAAGGCAATCTTTGTTGTAAAAACAAAAAAAATACTTTTCAGAATTGCACCAATTTACTTCCGATATTGCATTTACAGAGTTTCAGACACATGCTGTCAAAATAATCGCCACAAAGGACCTGCCATTGCAATAATTATTCTGTGTAAAAAATCAGACATTTTTCCTGACAAGTGTATGTTTGAAATTGTTTTCATCCAGCATGTGTTTGGTGAAATTAACGTGATATGAACGATTACCATCACCAGTTCCTGCTTGTGAAATAGACGCCAGTATATCAATTTCGCAAATCCCCATAATTTGTGAAATCTGTGACATCATCGTCTTGGCTCACAAAATTCATCAATAACTCTCTGAATAATTGACAAATGTTTTGATGAGTGTAGATTTCATTCAGTATATATATGACCCCACTTGACACAGAAACTTTCTCAGCAGGGCTGGAGTTGATTAAAAAAATGATAAAATTTATTAAAAGGGACTTTTTTATGAGGCTTTGACTTGTGTGACATGGGCTGAAATAAATCACACTTGAAACATGTGCATATTTGAAATGTACAATGACAGCCTGTCATAGTGATAGGCATCAGACTGCATTAGCTTCTGTTTATCTGATTGAGACTATACAGCCGAAGCGTTACATATAATACTTGTTGATTTTGCTGATACTTGTTGATTTTGTTTGAATTCACTCTAAAGTTGCCTTGAGAAAGCTTAAGATAAGATAATATTTATTGCAGAAACGTTCCATTACGGGACAGATGCAATTTTAAAAGACAAGACATTATGATTCATATATACATATATACAGACATACATAATTTACATTCCTGCAGACACATACAAAAAACAAAATAATCAAAATTACATATTTGATGATATTTTTATGCATAAAATGTCAACGGTTGATTATGAAGGGGTATTTTTTGTTTGAAATTATAGATATGGAAACAAATGCAGTTGATATTGACTGCTTCATTATTTGACAGGATGTAGTGAAATAATTTATCTTCATGACTGTGGACATTTACATTTACATTTTGTCTGGATAATTTTTCAAAGAGTATATTTCTTTCTTGAGTGTGTTTAATACAGTGAAGTAAGTAGTGTTTTTCGTCATCAATGGTTGAACATGTAGAGCATAGCCTCTGATGTAGTGGGGTTGGTGGCTTTGTATGTCTTCCAAGTTCAATATTTAATTTATGGTTATACTTAATCTTAGTTTAGAAAAGTGAACTCGATATTTTTTTACTTTACAGTGACTGAGATAGGCTTCTAATTTTATTTCATTTTTAACTATCCTATATGTCCAAAGTTTGTTTCCTGTGCCTCTTTTTGCATTTACATCTTGAAGAGATTCCGTCAAGAGGGAGTTGAATTTAGATTTGATTGTCTCTTTGAATATTGGTGATAGGAAAGCTGAAGTACTCAAATTGTGTTTTTCTAAGAATAGATTGAGCTGGTAAACCCATCCTAATCGTTTTTTCACCAAATATGTACTTTCTGTAAAAGCGTTCTGAAGTATTTTGTTTTTGGAAGAACATACATGGTGATAAAAATTTGCTATTTTGATTACCGTATTCGACGTAATAAGCGCCCCGCTCTAATAAGCGCCAACGGCGATATTTGCTAATATACTGGCAAGTGAACAATCCCAATTAGCATCCCTTCCGATTGGTCAATGTACACAAGACTTATTTATTCGTGTATAATACGCACTCGTGTGTTATATGCACCCTTAATTTTGGGCAATTAAATTTTGGAAAAATATATCTGTCGTATATAAACAGTTCAGACCGTCAGCATAAACCACGAAATTTATCTTTCAACTCTGTTTATTTCACCAAAATAATATTCTAATAAGAGCCCCCTATTTCTAATTTTGAGAGCGCCCTGGGCGCTTATTACGTCGAATACGGTAATACTGTGTGTTGGTGGCTTATGTAGTTTTATTCCTTACTTCACCGCCACGCAATGATTGATTTAAGACTAAACAATGAAGCATGGGGTTGTATGATTTTTAAGGAAATATATGATGCTGCATTTGTATTGTTGAAAGGAGCAACCATCTTCATTGTTAAATATTAAAATTTATTTTCAAGTAAAAAATGTTTTAATTCAAGAATGTACCAAATCAAGTTTATATGTGTTGGGATGTAATGTTTATTATTATTGTTATTAATAAAAGGTATCTTTTTTTTGTTCTAGGTGGAAAATATCAATACGTGTTTGACGTTTTTGGCCAGTCTGGGTGTAAGTGTTGATGGACTTAGCGCTAAAGGTAAGATATTTTTCTTTTCAGTTTTCTTCCAACTGTAGCAATACTTGCCGTAAAAGGTGACTGTGCTTGTCGTAAAAGGCGACTAACGGGATCAGGTGGTCAGGCTCGCTGACTTGGTTGATGCATGTCATCAATCCCAATTGCGTGGATCGATGCTCATGATATTAATCACTGGATTGTCTGGTCCAGACTCGATTATTTACAGACCGCGGTCATATAGCTGGAATATTGCTGAGTGCGGCGTAAAACAACAAACCAACCAACCAAATCCAACTGTAGCTCACCTGGACCAAAGTATGAAGTACCAAGTATATTTATGATTTGCTTTTACATCTGTTATGAGGTGATCTCCAAGATGCAACATGAAGGTTAACTCAGAAATCGTTCTGAATATATGTGAAATCAGTTTAAAAATGCTCAAGATCAATGGATAATAAACAAATTGTATTGATACACACAGGCTTAGGTTTACAGTCACAAGAGGTAAACCATGTGTCAAAAATGTTGCAACATCAGCAACATCTTCCCGAGGCAAGAGAGTTAACTGCCTTTAAAAGTCCAATTTCCACCCTTGCCGAACTAGGCTGGAATTCCTGGGCTCGATCGTAGCGCCACCAGAGGCTATTACGAGTTACGTAACTTCTATGTCTCTCCTATGGACCAATCAGATTCCACCTCTCGTATCACTTGCATTTGCTTCAAACAAAATGGTGGCGCCCGGTCAAGGCGATCTGATCGATAATCAAGATCTATATTGTGATAAAACGGGCCTCACATCGCGAAGTGCATCAAATCACATGAGCATCTTGATTAAAAACATGAAAAGATTTGGAAAATATCTGTTGACAACGAGTTGGCGGTGCACATGCTTTACAAATCCTGCAATCGATCAAAATCTGCACGACAGTTTACAAACCAGATTTTGATTTCGTTGCGCGTTAGGACTCATTAGTCCATCCAAAAGCTAACTCCATAATACCAGCCTAGTTCAGCAAGGGTGGAAACTGGACTTTTATAGTCAGTTAACTCCCTTGCCTCGGGAAGATGCATCAGAAAGTGACAGGCCCTGTAACAAATGACAGTGCATGTTGGGAAATTGTCACTGTTGAATGTCCGACATGTGGCAAGTGGGCTCCATTGTTGAATCTGGAAACAGGGTTTCCAGTGTTGAGGTTGTCAATGTATTGAGATATAGGTATCCCATCCACGCTGGGTGAGTAGATAACATGCAGGTCAGGTCGTAGGAAGGCTCAAAACTTCCTCGTTTCAGGCTTATGTAGGTACAGCCAGCCTTCTAGAAACTGTCATCTCTTGAAACTTCTCATATCATGTAGTCTTTCCCAGTGTCGGGGCAGTAGGGTAGCCTTGTGGTTAAAGTGTTCACTTCTCATGTCAAAGGGCTGGATTCAATTCCCCACATGGGTACAATGTGTGAAGCCCATTTCTGGTGTCCCCTGCTGTGATATTGCTGGAATATTGTTCAAAGGGGCGTAGAATCATACTCACTCACTCACTTTCCCAGCTGTGATATAAATGTAATACTGTTCAAAGCAGCGTTAGACCCAACTCACTCACTCACTCACTCACTCACTCACTCACTCACTCACTCACTCACTCACTCACTCACTCACTCACTCACTCACTCACTCAGACAATGATGTCTTGACCCAGAGATTCAAAAGTTTCAAATATATATACAGACATATGGCATTAGAGATTCAAAAGTTTTAAATATATATACAGACATATGGCATTAGAGATTCAAAAGTTTCAAATATATATACAGACATATGGCATTAGAGATTCAAAAGTTTCAAATATATACAGAAATGCATTGACAAAACTGTGAGATTTATATTATGGTACAGGGTTAGATTTGTGAGAGATATTTCTTATTCATACAAAGTTCTGTGGTTCTATGTCTAGCTAAAGGTGTTGAATTTGCAACATAATATGGCATAAGAGATTCAAAAGTTTCAAATATAAACAGACATATGGCATTTGTTCTACGGGAGAGTCAATGATGTCTTGACCCAGAGATTCAAAAGTTTCAAATATATACAAACATATGGCATAATAGATTCAAAAGTTTCAAATATATACAGACATATTGCATTTGTTCTATGGGAGCGTCAATGCTGTCTTGACCCAGAGATTCAAAAGTTTCAAATATTTACTTTTCATGAGACCAGCATAACTGAGGGTTACATTATGAATACAAATGTGAATTGGAAACAGAACCCCAACGTGATCTATGTCCTGCATGCGACCTGGAGCCTCACAGGATTCGTATTGTCCTGCACCAAGCTAGGTGCATATTATCACTTCCTGAGCAAGTCAAGTCCCTGGGGCCTTGTGAAATTGACGATATTAAGTCGTAGGGCCACGTCACTCAGTACAATAGCCTCTTGTCGTGTGTCCCTTAATATTTCACAAACAGGATGATGCTAGATGGAAAAGATTGTCAGTCATCGTCACCTGCATCCTTATGATTTAGATTTCGGTGTTGATGGATATGTTATAAATTTCATGGTGAAATTGACAATTTCTTTTAACATGTCATTGCAACTGACAACTGCTTGAAGTGGATTTTCAAAATTTTTACTAATTTGAAAATTGGAGAAACTTTGTTGAGTTTGGTATATTGTTTTTGTTGATTTCTTGTGGATTTTATTTGTTTGAAGAGTTTGAAGAGGTCCTTCATATCAGGTTGGTTGATTTGTTGATTTGTTGATTTGGGGAACAGCTATGTTTTTACTACAGTCTGAATTGCACTTATATATATGCAATTAAATTTAGTCATTAATAGAAAGCTATGTCAGAAATTATTTCATATCTAAACAAATGTGAAATGCATTGACAAAACTGTGAGACTTGTATTATGGTACAGGGTTAGATTTGTGAGAAATATTTCTCATTCATACAAAGTTCTGTGGTTCAATGTCTAGCTAAAGGTGTTGAATTTGCAACAGAAACTAAGAAATCAGCACTGAGTCAAGTGTTTGTATAAATCTAAAAGTCAATGAGTGCCTTGAGTAGAATCCATTCTTGATATCAGGGTTAGTGCAACATACTCGATTTGTCAGAATCTGAAAGCATATTAATTGGAAATTTTTCTTCCTCATATTTGATCCCAGTGTCAAGGATTTGTGTGATAAGCTTTCCACAGAGACAACTGACACCTCACCTCAGGAACATTTACAAGATTCTATGGTATATAAGTATTTAGAGTGGCTCAGTGGGTTCAAAATTGTGTGTTATTTACAAGATTTTGAGTTGACACCACTTAGTAACTCGAGTGTAAGAGATGATGTTTCAGAATAGGTTACTACGTATAGAAGCAGTGTCAATACTCATGGCTGTAGCAGTGTCATCTTCATTGAAATGTACAGGATCTTGTTTCAAGCTGGAGGAAATATACATGACAACTTTATATATGTTACAGTCAATGCGTAAAATGAGTGAAATTTTCACTTAGACATTTTACAAAAATAGTTAAATATTTCAGTCATTTTCCATTTATTTTTCTGTTAATTTATAATGATATCGAATTTCCAACATTTTTATGCTTAATTTCATCGCCCAGTGATTGAAATGATAGGATTATAAGAAAGCAAAAGTCAATGTATATATTTATTTTTTTGCTTCTAATTCTTGCATAATTTGTCTATTATGATGTTATTAAATCAATTTGTAAAATGACTGAAGTATATAGGCATTTTGTGAATTGTCAAAGTGAATCACATTTAACGTTTTAATTACAACATACACTCTGTGTTTTTTTCTGTGTTGGTTTTCTCAGTTGACCTGAAGGTATCCATCATCCTATATGTTTTGCAACGTATGTTTTTGCTCGCCATGACTAAAAGTCTACATGAACATTTGGCATATTTTGGCTTTTGAACAGCTGGAATAATTATGACAAAGTTATATCTTTGGGGGAATTTTCATCTAATGAGATTTCAACAGAAAATAAAGCAGATGCATTTTGGTCCCTCTTGAACCATAAATATGATCAAATTTGATCAACTTTTGAATTAATGGTTCCATTGTCAGGAAGGTTTGAGAATGCATGTTAATAACAGCACATATGCCAGGCAGGGAACCACGAGTAATTTAAAAGTTTTTCTTCTAAAAATTTAAGGGGATAAAAATTTAAAATTCAAGTCATTTTGATGAATGGTGTCTAGACAAGGGACCCTTAATGAATCAATAATGTAGTTGTTATACGAGATTTGTGTCCTGCAGAAGCTGTGGAATAAACCCTTGTGATCGCTCAAAGCACTGGAGATGAAATTGAGTGAAATAGAATCTGATCAAGTAGGAGTCAGATGGGAAATATACACCAGATATTACTGTCCTCATTTGACATCCTTAATAAGATTGGCCCAATGACCAGATTCACTGTATGTATATGTACGACATTTTGCTGAAATGTATGTCGTTCTTGCCATTTTGGATTTTGTGTAAACTTGCGTCCTCGCGTTGAAACTGACGAGTCACTGATTGTTCTAGTGAGGTAAGATTTAGAATTTGACTTTAAAATGGGGATTTTGGGATGATGTTTTTGGATCATTCATACAATAGCATATTGACAAGTGAAAGATGAGGTCACGGTTATCCTAATAGTTTTATTCTGAACAGAAGAGAAACATGGGACTCAGCTTTTAGAGATTTCTTATGTTAATGGAAATGGTTTGTCGCTTTTCTATAATCAATACTATATGTTTGATTTCTTCTAGAATTATGAGTCCTCGTCGATTAATATAGATAACATTTGATACTTGTCAAATATTTTGTTCAAATGTTTGTGTGCCGTCATAAGTGATGTTTAACAGAAGTGTCTGATTCCCTGATTCCCTGACTTAACTTAATGCATAGCATTTGGGCAAAAACATCTTTGTCATTTCAACACTGGCGCCAATTAGCTGTGTTTTCATAAAATACAATGCTTTGGCAAATAATTGCAATATGAAACCATGACAGTCTTCAATTGGGAACTTTTTAATAATTCATCACTGATGTCCACATTCAGACCTCCCACATTTTATCCAGTTAAGACCATTACTATGTTGATTATCTCAGGAAGTTTTTTTAGATTTGTTTAACAAGCTTCCGTGGTAATAATGTAACATTGGTATCATAATGCACCATGTTACTGTTTGCAATTGTTCCAATCACATGTCAATATCGTTCAGGTGTCCAGTAGCACAGATCGACGTCTCACTGCTTTTGTAACGGTTAGTTTTGTTTACTTCACATGAGAATGATTAATTCATGCGTAATTGTCCTGCAAACGAAATACGGAAGTTTGTACATAATGAATTTGGCTAGACTCTTGTTTCATATAGATCGAAAATGTTATCGCATAGATTATCATGACACAGGAATATGCACTTGCAAACGAGTGAGTGAGTGAGAGAGTGAGTGAGTTGTAACACTACTTTGTACAGCTTGTTAGTTATGTCAAGGAGCCTGCATGGGTTTTGTCTGGGAACTGGACAAACATACAAACCCTTGCTCAGGGCTCTGTTTAGACTAACATTTAGTCTATGAAATCTTATATTACACAATACCCTTCTCGACTCCATTATTAAACAAATAATTTTTTATGCTGATTTCGGTCAAATAGAGCTAGCTAGAGCTGGCTAGACTTGCTTTTGTATACATTTGTACATATCTAGATTGTTTTTGTTTCATAAAATAAATATATTCCACAGTCATGGTAGGCAGACTAGGCTCGGTTCCACCAAACGATCACAGCACTATGACTTCTTTGAGAGGCATTTAGAAGTTGGAGTACTGGGTATATAAGGATAAGATATATGGATGAACAACTTCTTTATTACAATTAGGAGCGGCGTTTCGGTGTAGGTTCTAACACCAGCTTGATAACTGTGTTAGAACCTTACTTAGCACTATGACTGTCATAAGTCTATGTACAGGTAAGGGAATTATGATCATCTTAGCGCTATGAATGTGTTGTGGAACAGAGCCCTGGTTTCAACAAGGTTGTACATACTCCCACATTAAACAAACACACTATGGTATAGATTTTCTTGTGTATCATGCACACACCCCATTCTTGGGTCAATATTTCGTGAAAACTTGCTATTCCATATATTGTCCAGTAATGTATCACTTGGGGCGTTGTTGGGCCTAGTGGTTAAAGTGTTTGCTCGTCACGCCGAAGACCCGGGTTCAATTCCCAACATGGGTACAATGTGTGAAGCCCATTTCTGGTGTCCCCTGCTGTGACATTTATGGAATATTGCTTAAAGCGGTGTAAAACCATACTCACTCACTCACTCACTTTCCCAGTGTCGACAACTGAGGGAAGGTTTCAGTATATTCATAATGGTACAATCATTAAATGCAATAGTCCTGCCGTGATATTGCTGGAATATTGCTAAAAGCGGCGTAAAACTACACTCACTCACTCACTCACTCACTCACTCACTCACTCACTCACTCACTCACTCACTCACTCACTCACTCACTCACTTCAGGTGAATGAACAGGAGCCAACAAACTTGGTCAATAAAAATGTGAAATATGCGATAAAACATCACGGGACATTATGATTTACAATTTATAGAGTATTTCCCGTAAGCATTGTTTTGTATGCAGTGATTAGGATTATTGCGTGTAATTGTTTTGTAAAATAGGCCAAAATAGCATTCAGCTGTATACATTTTCTCCCAGATTCAGTTAAAAAAACACCCAAAATCATCACCAAAAAACTAAAGCATTTAATGCAATGATTGGAAGAAATTGTATACAAAATTATAATTGTATCAGGAACAGCATATATAATATCTTGTTATTTTAGTAGCTTTTGGTAACTGAAATTAGGCAGTGTTGAACTGAACTCACTGAATACGAAGAAATTCACATGGGACTATTCCAAGTGATTTGTACGATCTAGTTATTGATTACTGATACATGTACTCTGGTGATTGCTTGATTGATTATTTCTTCTGACTAATAGGCAACCCAAACCAGTTTCCTTAGAATGGTTTGTTCCGCCACAACACCGGAGGCCTCCCATGTTGGAATTGGGTCGTAAATATCCTATACTTGTTTCATTCTCAGAAACCAAAGAGTAAAATTTTCCACATTTAGCACTGTGGTACCAATATGGTTCCCAGATATCACTGCCTAAATTGTTACTTGTTTGGGTTTGTGGTGCCAATATGGTTCCGAGATATCACTGCCTAAATTGTTACTTGTTTTGGTTTGTGGTACCAATATGGTTCCGAGATATCACTGCCTAAATTGTTACTTGTTTGGGTTTGTGGTGCCAATATGGTTCCGAGATATCACTGCCTAAATTGTTACTTGTTTTGGTTTGTGGTACCAATATGTTTCCCAGATATCACTGCCTAAATTGTTACTTGTTTGGCATTGTGGTACCAATATGTTTCCCAGATATCACTGCCTAAATTGTTACTTGTTGGGGTTCGTGGTACCAATATGGTTCCGAGATATCACTGCCAAAATTGTTACTTGTTTGGCATTGTGGTACCAATTCAGTTCTCAAATGCTATCATACATATTGTTTAAATTTGACATTCTGATACCAATATACATGGTTCTCAGAAGCCAATATGGAACTTGTTACTTGTTTTGGCATTGTGGTACCTAATGTGGCATCGAAATGTCTGGCATTGTTAAACCTAATGTGGCATTGACATGTTTGGCATTGTTGAACCTAATGTGGCATCGACATGTTTGGCATTGTTGAACCTAATGTGGCATCGACATGTTTGGCATTGTTGAACCTAATGTGGCATTGACATGTTTGGCATTGTGGTACCTAATGTGGCATCGACATGTTTGGCATTGTTGAACCTAATGTGGCATCGAAATGTTTGGCATTGTTGAACCTAATGTGGCATCGACATGTTTGGCATTGTTGAACCTAATGTGGCATCGACATGTTTGGCATTGTTGAACCTAATGTGGCATCGAAATGTTTGGCATTGTTGAACCTAATGTGGCATTGACATGTTTGGCATTGTTGAACCTAATGTGGCATCCACATGTTTGGCATTGTTAAACCTAATGTGGCATTGACATGTTTGGCATTGTGGTACCTAATGTGGCATTGACATGTCTGGCATTGTGGTACCTAATGTGGCATTGACATGTCTGGCATTGTGGTACCTAATGTGGCATTGACATGTCTGGCATTGTGGTACCTAATGTGGCATTGACATGTTTGGCATTGTGGTACCTAATGTGGCATTGACATGTCTGGCATTGTTGAACCTAATGTGGCATCGACATGTTTGGCATTGTTGAACCTAATGTGGCATCGACATGTCTGGCATTGTTGAACCTAATGTGGCATCAACATGTTTGGCAAAGTAGCACCAATATGATGCAATGGTTTCATATTTAGACCAGAAAATGACATTGATAGCATAGATCAAGCACGACTCACAAAGTGTATTTACAATGGATGCGGATTTGGCTGCATCTGATCTTATCTAATAAAGCTTCAATTTCCTCACCTTCATGTTGTAAAGTGCACCTCGTGAGAGTAGATCCCCAGGGTGGGAAATATGACAGCGACTAAAATGACATATGTGAAAATAACTAAAGTCTTTGCCTTTCATTCCAGATATCAAAGATGGCAACCTCAAGGCAATTCTAGGTTTGTTCTTCAGCTTGTCGAGGTTCAAACAGCAACAGAAGACACAGCAACAAACGACGAAGCCTCCAGAACAGGCAAAGGATCCGCCATCCACACCGCAGCTCTCACATCCGGGCATCGCCGTCGTTGACGGAGCCCCAAACTCCGGAGGGAGGACAACACCTCAGGTTAATGGAGGGGAGATGCTATCAAGGTGAGATTTGATTGGCTGAAATGTTACATGTGACGGTGGCCATTTTGTTTTGAAGAATGTTCAAAATTGACATGTTGGAATGTGTGTCAAAACGTCTTCTTTGGCAAATTGTCTTCTGGCTGTGTTTTGTCCCATTATATCAACTGGTATTTAGCATAAGCTAGTATCAAATTTGAATGGACTGGCTTTAAAATTGTGGAGATATTAACACTGTGGAGTGAAATAGGACAAGGTTGGTATGGTACATTTGAACATCTCTGATAATTTTCGTACCAGTATTCAAAGGTTTGCAGTCAAATTTGAATTTCCAAGTTGGCCAAAAAGTGCCCCTGTCACACATGAGTGGTCTCCCCCTTTCTGCTGGTATGTGTGGGGAGGTAGGTTTGGGGATGCTTGTATCAAACATGTTTTATCTGTTATGTATAGTTTTTTATGAAACACCGACAATCGACAAATGTTACACCGCTTCGTGACCTTGGACATGACTTTGACTTTAATTTGACTTCGTACACAACAATCCCACATACCAAAGTTGAGGAAAAACTTCATTCCCTGCTCCTTGGGGCATTTGTCGCTGAACGTGGTGACCATATATTTTACATATCTCTCTTCAAAGGTTCATATGTCAAGAATGAAAGCAAATGTCGATCATCTGAAGGTTGCTGAGAAAACAATGTGGGAAATGCTGGACTTCCTCATAGATAACATGTGTGTGAATTTGGGGAGAAGACATTTAGGCAAGAAGTAGACATCCCCATGGGAACAAATTGTGCTCCTTTTTTTGTTGATTAGTTTCCGATGCACAGGAATCAGATTTTCTCCTTGGATTGGCAAAATCAAAGCAAGGAATTTGGCCATGATGGATAAGCATAAACTTCAGGTATATTTGATCTGTTATTCAATAATGGTCAAATAGCCAAAATGGTTAATTTCTACAACCAGCTTCACCTCAGCTTTCCACACACAAGAAGCTGACATGTTAAGATAAAACTGGTACACTATTCAAAGGGCATTAAACCCAGCTAACTCACTGAGGGAGAAACTTTTGAATGGAAATTTTATTAGTAACCATTTATACCTGTCCCAAGGTATTGATTTCGGACTGAAATTGACACACACTCATGGTATGTAGACGGTCATGATTGGCAGAAATGTGCGACAGAAATGAAACACATTTAGCCCCTCTGTACTTGGAGAGGTAAGGGCCATGGTGATTGACAGTATCATATAACAAGCTATTTATTCCAAGCAAAGCTGATTTCACTCATAAGAGATCAAAAGGAGCCTTCCTATTTGATTGGCAGCTATATACGTGTATATTGATTGTGAGTGTAAATTGAAAAAGCTACTTATTTAAGTGGTGAGGATGGTAAGGGAGATAACTATTTTTACTTGACAGGCCTTTTAAAATATCTCCTGTGATTTTGTTTGGAAATTGTTGTTGGTGCATGTATGATGGAAAGGGATGATTTTAAGGGAGAATTTTCTTTATGAGTCTATATTTTCTAAAGTATCATGGTAACCAGTATATATTTGAGTTTTACATGTTATATATAATGGTGGGTGTTAAATATACAGACAGATTAGTGAACATAGCTTATTCATCCTCACCCTCCTGCCTAAAGTCCTCATGAATCAAATATAAAAAATGTTATCCAGCGATATTATAAGAGAGGCATGGCGGCTTTCTTTATGCCTAGCAAAGATTTGTGATTTCATTAGGAAAAAGCGATGATCCCTGAAAGTGCCTCCTAGATGAAGTATGGTTACGATGGCGGAAGGGGACAAACTACGGATGTTTATTGTGGTTGTTAAACATCCACCGATGTAGATTTCCTAAATGTGGAAGAAGTTATGCATGACATGACAAGTTTGGCTGACCTTTGATGGTATTAATGTATAATCAGTTGAGTTATGCGTCACAGACTATTTTTATGAGCGAGATGCTGAAAAACTGTTCACCAGACAACTTATTTGCTGCATGGTACAATGATTTAATAAGATAACGAAAGACAGAATCATCATGACAACTGGTTTGTAATCATCATCATCATCATCATCATCATCATCATCATCATCATCATCATCAATTATCATCTTTCAATATTATCTGTCATTCTTTCAATTTTAATCTTGATCTAAGTATTTATGAAGCTAATAACTAAATATTATCAATTACTTTAATTTGATTGCCATGCTTGAACATATTTTTGCGTTATTTAATTAAACACAATTGTATTAAACCAACAAGAGTTCCTAGTAAGTGCTCTTTTTGTACCAAATTTTATTTTTTTCTTGGAGATAATCAGATTTTCAAGTAAACAGATTTGGAAGCTTCCCCTTGTGAAATTGACAACGTTTTGAAATGAGCAACACCAGCTGTCAGACTGAGTAAGCTTATTTTATTAATCATCTGACGTTATCAAATATGCCCCCTACAGGGCCCCGAGTACTCTGGGTAAATTTAGATTAATTATGATTTCCTTTGAGTTCATCCAACAGCTGTTTTAGGTTAATCTGTTGCGAAACAGACATCATCCCTCGCTTGTCAATTTCAAGCAAGTAGATTAATAGAGCATCGAATTCTTTAGAAAAGTTCTTGCTGAACTTAAGCTTGTGGGTTACGCTAGGGTGAAGATAATTTCTGTAACAGTGTTCAACTGTGGGTGGTCTTGTAAACTTTTTTAAAAAGTTTTTCAAATTCTTTGAGGACCAAATGTCAGATGATTGATTTCAAAGGGGTATTGATTTCAAGTGTACGTGACTTTCCATATCTCCAGGAATATTTGCAATGTTCATGCAGTTATGTATCATTTGCAGATAAGCATGTGTGAGTTTTTTTGTTGATAGATGTACTAACAGACATATTTAATATAAGATTTTTAAAGGTATTTGAATAGGATGATGTTTTTATCTTTTATTGCAAGTTGATTCAAAACAGGTTTAAGATGTTTGTGAAATATAGTTTGACTGATGCTGTTACAGAAAAGAAGATGTGGATTTGATGTTTCGTTATGAACCTACAGTAAACTATGGTTACAATGAACTCAAAGCAACCACTAATTTTCGTTTGTTATAACCGTAGTTCGTTATTAGCATATAGCATATATAAAGCAAATGGCTAGGACCAATGTTATATCCATCAGTTTGTTATAAGTGTGTTTGTTATTAATGTAGGTTAAGGTATTTTATTCATAGTTGTGAAATGGATTGTGTACAAGTCCTACTCAGGGGGCAGTCGGGTAGTCTAGTGGTTAAAGCTTTCGCTGGTCACACCGAAGACCCGGGTTCGATTCCCGACATGGGTACAATGTGTTAAGCCCATTTCTGGTGACCCCCTCCGTGATATTGCTGGAATATTGCTAAAAGCGGCATAAAACCATACTCACTCACTTGTCCAACTCAGAACACCCTCTCCATAGAAAGGTTGGAACTGTATCAGAGCAGGATGAATTCAGAGGAATTTGTGGTGGAGTTTCATAGCCACTCTGACCTGAAGTCGGGATTGATGCTCATGCTATCAACCACTGGCTTGCCAGCCCAGACTCACTTATTTATAGGCAGGATTGATAGAGCTGAAATATTGCTCACTGTTGTTTTGAAAAACGTTCACCCTCTCACTCACTCACTCACTCACAGATGTTTTATGAATATTTTCAAATTGTTATTCATAAAAATTTCAAATTAAAACAAAAACTTGTGTAATAATGCTGCATTGCAAATTTCATGTTCCCTTCAAATTATGTTTTTCACCATGAAGCAACGTCACTGTTATCCTTTTCAATATGTGTGAATATGCTTGTCGATTTTTTTTTGTACGGCCATTTTATATGTCCTTGTCCACAGTGAGAATCACTTTAACAGTACACTGAGTTGAACTAAATTGATGGGAAGATGTCACGATTCCTTAAATAACTACAACTACCACTAGAGGGCACTTTTAGCGTTGTCTGCATGTGCAATATTGCGTATAATTACCGCCTCGATACTGGTCGGAGCTGTGCTGGTTCTACTGAGAATCCTGCCAGAGCCTAACTGAACTGCCAAAAATCAATACAAAAGATGCTAGAGCAGACGACAAAACACCGCTCTGTGCTGCAACGAAGTAGGTCAAAATTAGACGAAATAAAATAAATGTTGATTGGACACTGCTGTGGAAGGCAGGTCTTTTAACTAATCAGTGAATATTTGGGATCTGTTGGTATAGCAACTAACGACCTTGACCTTTGTTTGTTGGGTTAAGGTCGGAGCCAATGTGATGATTGTGCGTGGACTGGTTTAGAAGAAACATTGTTGGATGATTCATACTTCTCAATTATTATGTTTGGCCTCCCACATTCAGTAAGATGGCTCTTCCGCGGAAAATTGATTGTGATTTCCAATCATGATGCAAAGGCATCGACGACTGGCACAAGCCTAGACTCTACTCTTGATCATCTGTTGTCATGGCGTTACTCCGTTAATCCGTTTAAGATTTGGTTATAACATGACAACTACCCTTTCTTCCTGGATTCTGCTCAACTGACTCGAGCAGTATTTTTAGCACAGTGGCATTGTTTTCAAAATTTGAAATTTACATACGTAAATTTCAATTTGAGTGAAATTGATTGGCGTCAATTTGTACTGTTGACATGATTGATGGATATGGACATTGTCAAGCGTTAAAGGTGCACTGCATTTGGAAATATGATTGAAACTTCAATTATAAATGCCAAATTTGTATGATGACCATCATTGTGATGACAGCTTTGGGAAAGTGACATTGATGGATTCGAAGTGATCTTTTCACATCTGTGGATTGCAAATTTACAAGGGTTGCAGATAGCAACTGCACTGAGGTTTCATGGTACATTTCAAGCTGGGATTTCACTGGACCTGGTTGGAAGGGATATCAATTACACAAAATGGACATTTCAGACCCCCATTACTGTGTTAAACAGGATCATTGTAAATTGCAACTGGACATGTTGATACAAGTGGCACAGTGTTGATTGTTGATA